CGAAATTATCAGACTTGTTGCAAGGTTGTTCTGACAAGTCCGTGACATGCTTGATATAATAAGATTGTTACAACCTTGTGTTGACAACCTTGTAACATCCTTGTTATATCATGGCTGTAACAAACTTGTTAGCACAATCTTGTAACAAGGCTGATCATGCCGTCAAGCTTGTTACATTTTAACAGCTTGTTTCAAACTTGTTACAACAAACTGGGAACAAGCAGTGCGAGTACAACTTGTTGACAGCTTGTGAACAGACGTGTAACAACTTGTTTGCAGACTTGTTACAACTTGTGCGTTTTTACGTGTGTACAGCACGTGCAGTTGCACGCGCCCAGCATGTAGCGATAACTGCATGTGATTGGTTCTCTAAATTTAGCAATCATTCTAAAAATACAAGTGATCTTTGACATGTTTTGACATAATATTGGAAACAGAGCATGCGCAACACAAATCTACGGTGGCCCAGAAGGGACACCACTGTCAGCAGAGTGAATATCGCAAACAATAGCGAATTGTAACAAACTGAATGAGATTTGCTGCAAACATATAAATAAAGCGCTGCAAATAAACTAATAAAATATAAAACACACTGCAAACAAAATACAGTGGTCTGCAAATAAAATATAAAACACACGGCAAACAAAATATAAATCACGCTGCAAATAAAATTAAAACACGCTGCGAATAAAATTGATAAAACACGCTGCAAATAAAATTAAAACACGCTGCAAACAAAATATAAAACACACTGCAAACAAAATATAGCGCACGCTGCAAACAAAATATAGAACGCTGCAAACAAAATATACCACACGCTGCAAACAAAATATAGCACACGCCACAAACAAAATATAGAACGCGCTGCAAACAAAATATAAAGCACACTGCAAACAAAAGCTTAAAACCGTGCGCGCGCATACTAATTATATTCATATAATTTCGCGGGGTTTTCCCAAATCAAAGATGGCGTCTGAACAATCTAACTTTGTAAGAAACGAAATACGAGAGGCCGTTCGCGAAGAGGTTTCGCGTTTGCTTGGCAGTACATCAGCAACGTCTAACTCTACTGCGACTGGTACTGAATCGAGCCGTGAAAGCAATAATGAAAGGCCTCCTGCAACCCCTCAAACTCAATCCAGTTCGTTCAGCGACTGCCCGTCTACACCGACTCCAAGAACGCGCACCTTATCATTCGAAGATTTCTATAAAATGCGGGAAAGCCAACGTCAGTCAGGCTTCAAGATTTCAAAGAAAAAGAAAAAAGGCTTATCGACCACCACTAGCAACGCTCCAAAGAAGTCAACTAATGTCGAAATTAAAGTTGGCATTGCTGCCCAAACAGATGGGCTTGTAAAGGTTCGTCGCGGTAAGACACATGTTGTAACAGTAAGTTCGTCGGCTACAAAAGAAGAGATTACCCAGAAAGCAATAGAAAAACACAGGAGTTTTGATCAGACTTTTGATGAAACTGTTGCTTGGGTTCTATTATACCCTGATTTCCGAGAAATCCAATGGATTCCAGGAACTACACAGCCGTTCATATTATCCAATTGCAAACAGGCAATTTGTAAGGACTATAAGCGGCTTACTTTTTATCTGATCCCACTGGATGATGTAATGGAAAGTTTAGATGAAAGTGGTAACGAGTCTTCAAAATTGAGCTCACTGCCCGATATTCGTAAATATGCCTTAAATCGGGTTCCTGCAAATAGCCCAGGCTCCCCGTCGGTCGTACATATAGATCATGAAGGTGCTTCAACATCACATGCATTATCAGGTGAGATTATGCTTATTAACCCATTAAAGTGCAAGCTCTCCCCTTGACGAGTAAACGTGTCTGGCGTTGGACAGAGTAAAATAATAAAGTAGGGTGCATTTGGGTACATTGCTGCTTAAATATGTTGTACAGTCCGATCTGCGCATGTGCACAAAAGAACATGAAAATCATGAAAATATAAATACCGGTAGTTGTCGAATAAATCTTATATTTTGGATACCGAAATGTAAACAAAGCCTTTGTTTACATACGGACTGTACCACATCTTTAATTAACAATTATTCGCCGAAGGCGAGGTGATTATCGGTGAATAAAAACCGAGACGAAGTCGAGGTTTTTATTCACGATAATCACCGAGCCTGAGGTGAATAATTGTTTTAGTATTATTTCATAGGTGATTATTTGGGAAAAAATAACATTTCTTCGTCATTTAATTGACAAAAAAGCTTCGGGCGCCATTTTGAAAATCGCTTAGGTGATTATCGCGTAATAATCACCTCAACGGCAACCAATCAGCGTGGAGAATTTTCAATAATCACCTATGTAATTATACTAATGGTTAATATAAATATATAATAAAGGGCACAAAGTTGGGGGAAAGAGGGCAACCTCCCAGTTTTTCACCTTAAAATTGTGCCAATCTCAGTAACTGAAACCAAATGAAAATAAAACCATCACAAAATAAATAGATACTGAATATACGGTTTACAAAAGAAAGACTTCCTTGAAAGAGATAGTACTTGAAAGAGGGGTGGCCAATACACTAGTTTACTTACTGTACCCCATGTGTTGGCAAATTCCCTGTACCACACTAACCCAGGTATGGAACCTGAAAGCCATGGTTCAGGTATTTAGTATTGCTATGATTATTAATAGCACCAATTTTGATTCAAGTGTATCAGTGTGGTAATGTCTAATATTCATGTACATCTGTACAGTTATTCACTGGCAAACCAAAATGGTAATTGGGTCGTTCCCGAAAAGATCCATACTCCCCCTGTAATGATATGACGTAATACGGACTGCATGAAAACGAGGGCAGCCTCGTGGGACAGGAACGAGACAGTTTTGCATGTTTTACTTGTAGTCATACTAGTGTGAACTATAACTTAAAAGGAATAATAATAACTTAACATGGTGTCAGGAGTAATTAAACCTTACTAAACGAACCTACGATGCCATCGTCGATACCTGCACCAAAACCACTCAGTTTCACAGGAAATGTCGCGGAGAACTGGCGAAAATGGCTCCAGCAATACAAGTTGTTTATGGCCGCCACGGAGAAGAACAGGAAATCAGAAAAGCTTCAGTGTGTAATGTTCTTATCTTTAGCAGGAGAGACAGCGATTGAAATTTATAATACCTTTACGTTTCCAGAAAGTGAAATCGACAAGATTGAGCCTCTTATTCATAAGTTCGAGGCCGAGGCTTACTGTACGCCGAAGAAAAATCTTACGTACGAGCACATGTATTCCATAGTCGAAAACAACACGTGGATGAAACATTCGATCATTTCCTAACAGATCTTAAAATTTTAATACGAAAATGTAGTTACGGGCAGTTAGCCGACGACTTATTGCGAGATCAAATCGTGGAAGGCATCCAAAGCGACAAAGTACGGGCAAGACTGTTACGCGAAAGTGAACTTGACCTGCAAAAATGCATTGATATTTGTAGAGCAGACGAAGCGGCCACCGCTCGAATGAAATCGTTGTCAAACACATGTCAAGTGAAACCAAGAAACGAGAAATTTGAAACCAAGAAACGAGACCCCCATCTACTTGTAGCAGGTGTGGTTATACACATGGATCAAGATCCTGCCCGGCGAATGGCAGAATCTGTCATAACTGCGGCAGATTTAATCATTTTCAGAAAATGTATCGAAGTGAAAAACCTAAGACCAAAGTGGAAACAGTCGAGCAGCAACAAACTTCAGTAATGTCTGACGAGGATTTTATTGTGGATGCAGTGAAATCAACAACAAATATTAAGGGCCCCCAAAATGTATGGATCACTCCCTTGCTAGTGAATAACACTATTATTCCTCTAAAACTGGACACTGGTTCTGATGTAAACATCCTGAGCTTCAACGATTTCAAAACTTTGAAAGATCAACCCAAGTTACTGCCAACTAAAGTCAAGTTGACTGAATATGAAGGCAGTGAGATTCCTACGATAGGCGAGTGTATTTTAAGAGTGCATGCCAACAGTCATAGTTATTATCTAAAATTTATTATCAGCCCTCAAGATGTCACACCAATACTAGGATTAAAAAGCTGTGAAAAAATGGGACTTATACAACGAATCCTTAAAATATCTTTGAAGCCACCACAAGGTCCTGAGAATGTAGACACACCTACAGTCAAACAACCAAATGGTGATCCAATATTTTCTGATTATGCGGATGTATTTACTGGTCTTGGGGACTTACCTGGTCAAGTGCATATTCAGTTGACCCCAAATGCAATACCAAGAATTGATGCCTGTCGACGAATACCTTTTCCACTTCAGCAACAAGTTAAAGACGAGCCGTCCTGACCGCGTAGCTCAGTTGGAAGAGCATTGGGCTAGTATTCCAAAGGTCGTAGGTTCGAATCCCACCGTGGCCGGGCATATTTTTCAAGCTCGCCCGGTGTGGATATGCACTCAGAGTAACATCGCAAACATCATATTCACCTGAGTACACAACACCAACACAGAAAAATATTCATATTACTAGAACACATTGATATTGAAGGAACTAGATACTGTTCCGAAATATCACTTACTCGAACCGTCCTGACCGCGTAGCTCAGTTGAAAGAGCATTGGGCTAGTATTCCAAAGGTCGTAGGTTCGAATCCCACCGTGGCCGGGCATATTTTTCAAGCTCGCCCGGTGTGGATATGCACTCAGAGTAACATCGCAAACATATTATTCACCTGAGTACACAACACCAACACAGAAAAAAATTCAAGTTAAAGACGAACTAGACCGCATGGAACAGATAAAAGTTATTGAAAAAGTTGAACGACCCACACAGTGGGTTAATTCAATGGTTGTTGTGCACAAACCTAATGGTGCTTTAAGAATCTGTATGGACCCGAAGAATTTAAATAAGTCCATTATGAGAGAACACTATAAACTCCCCACCAGAGAAGAAGTTATGTCCAGATTTGCAGGTGCTACGGTGTTTTCCAAACTTGATGCTTCAGGTGGATTTTGGCAATTAAACTTGGACAATGAAAGTTCAGACCTGTGTACGTTCAACACGCAGTTTGGTAGATATCGTTATTTACGTCTTCCTTTTGGTATTTCCAGTGCACCAGAAATACTGTATACCACCGGACAATTCACCAAATGTTTGAACATGTTGATGGAGTTGACACATCAATGGATGACATAATTATATGGGGATCCAATGTGGAAGAACATGATCAGCGCCTCCACCAAGTTTTACAAGTTGCACGGCAAAACAATCTAAAACTACGCATGGGGAAATGTGAAATCCGAGTTCAAGAGCTTACTTTCTTGGGGGATACAATCTCAGTTGATGGAATTAAACCAGATCAACGTAAGGTACAAGCAATAAACAATATGGAAAAACCAACCAACAGAAAGGAACTACAATGTTTTCTTGGGATGGTAAATTATCTGGCAAGATTCCTGCCTAATCTCTCAGTTAAAACCGAGCCTTTGAGAAAGCTTTTAGAACAAAAGAATCGATGGGAATGGCATCATGAACATGACAAAGCATTTGAAGAACTGAAACACCTAGTGTGTAATGAACCAGTGTAATGAACCAGTATTAGCTATGTATAATCCAAAACAACCTATTAGAATTTCCACGGACGCTAGCCGAAGTGGCCTGGGTGCTGTGTTAGAGCAGCAAACTGATGGACACTGGTTATCTGTTGCATATCATTCCAGAGCAGTAACTGATGCGGAAAGTTGTTACGCAGTAATCGAGTTGGAAACACTAGCAATAGCCACAGCTTGTGAAAGATTCCATCAGTACATCTATGGGCAACGAGTAGAGATCAACACAGACCATAAACCCTTGGTTGCCATATTTTCAAAACCATTAAATGATTGCCCCCCTCGTATTGAGAGACTACGTCTGAGATTACAAAGATATGACTTGCACCTCACTTACGTCCCAGGTAAAGAGAACTACACACGTCAGCTGACACTTTATCTAGATTACCCAACCAAGCTAAAGTTTACAGCATTACAGAAGCTGATGTACAAGTCCATGTTGAGGGAATAATGGTTACAACTTTAGTATCGGACCGAAAGAAAACAGAAATCAAGCATGAAATGGAGCAAGATACTTCGATGCAAAAGCTAATCAAAGTAATCCAAGCCGGATGGCCAGATGAACGTCAAGCTTGCTCATATGAACTCCAAGCATATTGGAACTATAGCGATGAACTCTGTATTCATGAAGGACTCATCTACAAAGGTAAACGCATAACTATCCCCTTAAAATTAAGAAAAGAAATTTTATCCCAGATTCATGCAGGTCATATGGGCCATGAAAAGTGTAAAAGAATGGCTAGACAAGTTGTTTTCTGGCCTGGTATGAACCATGAGATAGATACATTGGTGAACCAATGTGAAGCATGCCAAAAACACCAGCATCAACAATCTGTAGAACCCCTTAAACCACACCTAGTTCCAAATCGACCATGGCAAAAAGTGGCAACTGACTTATTTGAGCTGAACAATCAGCATTATATTGTTATTGTTGATGCCTACTCCAACTACCCCGAGGTGCAAGAATTGACTAGTCAGTCAAGTAAATCTGTAATCAATGCCATAAAAACAGTATTTGCTCGATTAGGCATTCTCGAAGAGGTCCTTGGTGATAATGGACCTTGTTATAGCAGTGCTGAGTTTGCCTCATTTGCTAAACAATGGGATTTTAATCACATAACTAGTAGCCCAGGATTTCCCCAGTCCAATGGATTAGCAGAACGGACAGTTCAAACTGTAAAAAACATCATAAGTAAATCGATTGAAAGCAAAGAAGATTATCAAATGGGACTACTCGTACAGTATATAGGGATACACCTCTTGCTAATGGGTTCACACCAGCAGAGTTGCTAATGGGTAGGAAAATACGCAGCAATCTCCCTATCACAGGCTTAACTCTAAATCCAGCAACGCCACCCAATGTTAAAGACATAAAGGAGCAGGAAAAAAACCAATAAAAGACTCTATCATGATCAGCATGCAGAGAAACTCTCAGTACTAATTCCAGGAGATCGTGTCAGAGTAAGACAGGATGCGAACCCCACTGGAAAGACAAAGGTGAAGTGTTGAAAAGAGTAATGCCTAGATCGTATAATGTAAAAACGGAAAACGGAACAGTTCTTAGACGTAATAGGAGAGACTTGTTAAAGATACAGGAGAAAGCGAAGGATAGCACAGAGAAGGAAAAGGCACAGGCAATGGATTTGGCAAGTCGGAAGAAACACCAGGTAAACACAAAGATCTTAGATAAGAAGCCTGAAATAAAAGCAATATAGGCACTAGAACCAGAACAGGAAGGGAGATCAAAAAACCAGACAAACTCTCGCTGTAGACCTAGAAATTGTTGTTAACGATTGAACCTCTAAGGAAACATTTTAGTATATTTATAATATAGAAACACTTGTGTTAAAGTTGGGATTTGCGTTAGTTATTGGACATTCATGTTAAAGAAAGGAAGGTGTAATGATATGACGTAATACTGACTGCATAAAAACGAGGGCAGCCTCGTGGGATGGGGACGAGACAGTTTTGCATGTTTTTACTTGTAGTCATACTAGTGTGAACTACAGTATAACTTAAAAGGAATAATAATAACTTAACATATACAATATTTGGAAATTATTTGTAGTCACTTTACAGGCAAGCCAGATAGCAACAATGTAAACAACATTAATCTATGGAATTGAGTCAGCCAAAGGGAGGATTTTTGGAAGCCTGTATGTATGAGTAGAAACTAATAATGTTCTCTAACTCTAACAGTATATTTTGTACATACCTGCTCATAGTTCTGCATTGACTTCACATTGTGTATAACAGATGCAAATCCTGCCTTGCATAGTGGACAAGTCTGGACAACCTCACACCATTGTAAGATACAACAGAAACAAAATGAATGTGGGCAGGTTAAGGATTTTTAACAATCAAAGAGTACATTACTGTATATGTTAATTAGTAAAGTTCTGTTTACTGTTTTTACTATAACCACATTGTACTATGTTAAGCATTAGCCATTACTCCTAATTGTTACACAACAAATCACTTCAACATTTCTGAGACTTAGACAGATTACTTAGCCTGTGTATAAATGGTTAATGGCGTGCACCAGTCATATTTGGCCTTTATATGTAAGTTCCTATTATGTAAAACAATCCGTAAAGTAAAAAAATTATTAGGAGTCAAAATATTTGTATAAGCCTTAGGACAGATGGGATAATTTATCCGGTCAAAGGATGGGCTATCATGTAATAACTAGTAACTACAGTGAAACATGCAATTTGATTGGTCAATACATGTGCAGGATCAGACAATCCAGAATGCCTTTGTGCAGGCTTTTTAAAATGTCGGACAATAAAACATTTTAACGGGTCAAGAACAAAAACATTAATACTGTATTAAAAGTTATAATAAAGTTAATTAAAAACGTTAAATAAGTCTAAATAAAGGTAACATTTCAATAAAGCAGGGCTTTATCCAAGTAAAGCACCAACTGACCTTCAGTATTGTGAACAGAGGTCAAAACTCGATCTTGGATTGAGTTTTTAGTCTATTTTTAAACTGAATCTTTCCCCCAAAGAAAAGAAAAAACAACAAAAAAAATATTTTCACATGCTTTAGTGTTTGGAATTCTGAGAGCTGGGTTTTTTTCCAAATAAAATGACATGTTTATGTCATAAAGCCTACCTTTATCGTATATTTTGTGTCTTGTGCCCACCATGCTTAGATGGCCACAGAAAAAATATGCTCGAATACGAGTACATACATCGATGCATGGCCTCTTTGGTATTGTGCAATGTTTACATAAGATTACATCATACACAAACCATGCAGTTACATTTGAGCAACGTAACGGCAACATATAGTCTAAGATGCTGAAATAGCAAAAGATTTCAGGAACTTTGCCCCTAGACACCCAGTGGGCAGTGGGGCTACGTTCGTGCTAATTCACAAAAACTGAATCTTCTTTTCTAAAACGGGGGTCAGCAAAAGTGCTTGGATAAAGCCCTGTAAAGTCAACTGTTGTTTCACTTTAATTAATGTAATTATTTTATAAAACAACTACCAAATGGTTTTCTGGGATGTTGCTTGACTTTCGGAAAGTGTAAAAAAAAACACTCGCTGCACCTCTTTTTCCACGCTTTCCAAAAGTCAGCAGTCACAAAATCCCTCATGTATGGATGATGCTATATATCCTGCACAGAAAACCATTTGGTATTCTTTCATGAAAATAGAAGGTAGTGTACACCGGCTGAACAACCACTGCGTATTGATTTTGCGCCTGAAATGCACATGTGTTTTCCTGCCAAGATGCAAGCACATGCCATTATTTTGCGCTGTTACGTCGGGCATACTGGCAGACATATTTATTATTTACATAAAATTCGTAAACAAAGTTTAGTGTAAACTGTTTACCCACCGGCCACCGCGGGCCACGTCTATGAAAATGTTAAAAAAAGGATATGAAAACATTGATCAAGAAATGATCTATCTTCAAATGAACTCAAACAAATTGGACAGGACTCTTTTTCTTGCTTCTCGTTTGAAGCAGCCTTCTTCGTAACTTTGCCACCCACTTCACAGTCTTCACTACTGTTATTTTCTGTGTTGTTTGCACTATCATTTTCATTTTCATGCTCGGGCAGATCTTCCTTCTTTTCACTGATTTCTGGAGAACTATCTGTAATGTAATTCTCGTCAATACCGAGCAAACCAGAAGAGGTGGAAGGCAAATCTGTCCAGTCACAGTCCTCCATTATTTTTATAATTATTTACAAATTGCTTTATTGTCGCCATCTTGATTTTTCGTTACAGAGGTAAAACTTCATGTAATCTCCACTCAAGATCGTCATTCGTAAAACATTTATCCTTGAAAAGAGGAATTTAGAGCAATCATGTCCAAATTGACGATAAGGCAAACTACATTTCCACTGATTCGAATCTAGAAAGTGACAGATGATATTCATAATTTGATTTTCAAATTTTACAACTAAATTTTGCCCGCCACTAAGGCGATGCCTGCACAGGAGGTACCTCAAATTATTTGCTATGCTTTTCTCTATTCTTTGCTATTCTTTGCTATTCTTCATTTTAGCAATTCATTTTAGCAATTCATTTTAGCATTTAGGCCGCGCTGAACATTGCGCTTTATATTGACTGGGACTGAAAGAAAGAGTATGTTTTGTGGACCCTAGACTCGGCTCCGCCTCGAGAAACTGTGGCGGTCTCGGGTCCACAAAACATACTGATTCCCTTGGGGTTTTTCAGGGTTTTTTCATTCATTATTAAATGTTGAATATTTTTCGGTTGTTGAATAATAATGCACCTATCAATGTTAACCCCCGGGGGGGGGGGGGATCGGGCATATGTGGGGCTTGATCATCAATTGCATCCCCAGCCTGGGGATTTTGATCAGCATTTTGGTCCCGAGTTGGGGCAATTTGAACCGAATGACTTTTATTAGTATACTATTTATTGCAATTTATTGCAAAATGGTGGGGCATTTGACCAATATTTATTGCCCGACGGTGGGGCATTTGATTGAAAATTTGCTCAAAAAATCAAATGCCCCACCTATGCCCGACCCCCCTCCCCCTCTGGGGCTTAACATTGATAGGTGCATAAACGTTGACTATTACACTATTACTGTAGTGATAGATAATCAAATGAGTTATATTGTTATTCTAACGAGTTTCACAGCCATCTTTCCTTCAATAGGCTATGCCGTTTACCGTTCCGTTATTGCCGTTTTATAACTTTTAATTAGAGACCTTTAGGAGTTTAGCTTGACGTTTATTGCAAACGTCAAACCACTAACGAAGTTTTTGATTTTACAACTCTATTCAGTAACAGCTTTTACACCAGTTTTGAAATATATTAAACTGACAATTATTAAACTTGTGCTCTTAGTTAGCAATGATTTAAGAAAGCAAATTAACCACTAGTCACGTAGTCGTTAAAGCATGAAAGATACTCTACGAAATCTTAATTTACTGCTTTGGCCATGAGTAGAGTTTAAAATTTGTTTTCTTGAATCATTGTTAAATACCACAAGTTTAATAATTGTTTTATTTATTTCAAATCTGGTGTAAAACGGCTGTTATACTGATAGAGTTGTAAAATCAAAAACTTTAACGTTTGCCATCATTTAAACTTCGGGTTATACGGCAAACGCCAGGCAAAGAAAAAGTTTACGGTATCAGGCAGTGGCGTAGCCAGACCTTCATTTTTGGGGGGGCGAAGCGAACGCCGAAGGCGCGAGACCATCTATGGAGGTCCGGGGGCATGCACCCTCGTGAAAATTTTGAAATTTAGAGTCCCTGAAATGTGATTTCAAGCATTTTGGGGGTGAAATCTTGCAGAATTCCGAAGATTATAAAGTACGCTCTAGGAGGGTTCGGGGGCATGCACCCCAGGGAAAATTTTAAAATTTAGAGTCCCTGAAATGTGATTTCAAGCATTTGGGGGGTGAAATCTTGCAGAATCCCGAAGATTATAAAGTACGTCGAAGACATAAATTTTCCCAGACATTTCTAAGTTTCTACTCGCTTTTATATATGATACAGAATAAGTCTGAGAAGAATATTCATGTTATCATAATGCATATACATGTAAATCTGAACTAAATCTATTCCTCTTGGAACCATATCTACAACTGTTTTAACGAGATTTTAGAAATCAAGTTCTTCCAGTATTTCGTCGTTTTCCTCAGTCGAGACGTACTTAATCCCTTTCAGCTTCGAGGATGTAACGTGTACCCCCCCCCCCATTTCTCTACGGATTTAGCCTTTTTCAGAGAATAGTTTTTTTGCGATTGGGGGGGCGACCGCCCCCCCTTGCCCCCCCTTGGCTACGCCCCTGTATCAGGCAATAAAGAGCAAATGAACTTGCTGTTTCAGTAAAACTGCAATGCATGATTATTCTTTCGACACAAGAAAGAAAATATGAAACGAAAACGTTCAACGAAAATTTTGCCAAGAAAGTTCGAACCTGCCGTTTGCCGTTCCCGGAAACGTGAAGCTTAAACTCCCCCGCTTCTAGATAATTCGAATGTGAAAATGGAATCACGAATCTGAAAATGAAATGCCGGTTTGCCTTATCGCACCAAAATTTCCCGCCTTGTCGGTCAATTTCGTACGCAGAGAGCAGAGGCAGAGCCATCATCACATGTACCTAAAATGGGGCAGATATATCCAGGGTCGAACACAACCTCGTTCCAGGGTATCTGGGAACGAGGTTGGGTCGGACACTTGGATTCGCACCATCATCGAGACATTATTTTGTTCTAAAGATAAATAAACAACCTCTTGCATTATTCTTGAGAATTAAATGAAATTGCAAAGTAACATTAATAACACAGTCAACAGTCAACAGTCAACACTCTGCAGTCAACAGTCAACAGTCAACAGTCAACAGTCAACAATCAACACACGCGAAGAAGAGGGTAACTAGCGAGTAACTAGTGAAGTAAAGGAATTTTGGGGGGGAAATTAAGGAATGTCTCAACTGTTGCCAGTTTTACATGGTTGATTCGAAAATGGCGTCTTTCCCGTTTTCATCGGTCTTCATCACTGGAAGCAATCGAGGTCTTGGTCTGAATATGATCAAACATATTTTACATTCATCTACTGTTCCAAAACATATCATTGCAACATGTAGATCATTGAAAGCAGAGAACGCACAAGAGTTACAGAAATTAGCTGAGACGAATTCCAATATACATGTGCTGGAATTTGATATGGCTGATGTTTCTGGACCTCGTTTGCCCGAACTGGTGAAACAAGTATCAGATATTGTTCAGGAGGCTGGTTTAAATCTGCTCATAAATAATGCCGGGATGAATTTAAAGGAGACTTTTGATGAAGTAAGTCCTGACATAATGCGGCGTACTTTTGATGTGAATACTATTGCTCCATGTATGATAACCAAGGCTTTCCGACCTTTATTGAAACGAGCAGCCGAAATGAAGCAACCAGGTGAGCAACCAGAGGCAGCAGTTGTCAATATTTCATCAATTATGGGCTCAATAGACAATATCACTAATGCATACAAATTGTCATACAAAGTTTCAAAAGCTGCATTGAATATGGTTACGAAAGCTGTAAGTGGTGAATTTGCTGATGATGGTATTACAGTTGTTTCAGTACATCCAGGCTGGGTGAAAACTGATATGGGAGGCTCCAGTGCACCACTCACTGTTGACAAGTCAGTTTCTAGTGTCGTGAAGGTCATCTCATCATTACAAAAGTCACAAACTGGCAGCTTCTTCAGCTATGATGGAACTATCTTGCCATGGTGAGAGAACAGCTACTGCAGGGAATTTACATAGATAATAGATTGGAATACATAAAATCTAAGGAACTACTGTAAATATATAACAACACTGCTTTTACATAAATTTCATATATAATAGAGTTTTCAACTTGTTTGTGATGGTTGCATGCACAATGACCCACCTCATACGGTCATACCCAGCCAACTGCAGAGCATTATTTATGTCTGCAGAGCATTATTTAGTGTCATTTTGTGAACAGGCTGTCGGATTGCAGTCTCCCCAACATCGATTGGGCCTTCATGTTGCCTGCCTGTCACAAGGCCTAAAAAAATACCTGTGGTTCCGGTTTCATATCGCGAAAAAATTAGGGTCGGTTTCATGGTTTTTCCAATAATTAGTGTGACAACAGATGCCATTTTGGCAGCAGCCCGCAACCACCCGGAGAAAATAGGGTCGCACTGTCAATCGCATTGAAAAAATACAGGTAATAGGGTCAGCAAAAAAAAATTGGGTCAGTCGGGAATTGGAATCGCAGGTATTTTTTTTTAGGCCCAATACTTGATGTATCCCTATTGTATAGCCTAAAGGAAATATAGTACTATGGTACAACGGCCTTTTTTAACTATATAACTGGGGGAGGGGGGAGAGGCAAAGCCCAGACCAAACCAGTTTGTCATACCATGGTATGACAAAACTTTTTGTCACCAACAAGTGGGCAACAACCATCTGTCATCTCTCCACACTCATTATAGTATGGTCCCCTTTTGTAGATGGCCCTTCCATGGACAAATTCTTAAAAAAGGCCCTGTGCTACAAGGTGGCACAATGATTGTTTTTCATATCACATTCATATGAATGATTGACAAAATATAGGGATGCAATTTTAATTAATAGCAATATATAATACTTTTGTTTGTGGAAACAGCACATAAATTTATTACTGCAAAGTGTTTGATCCGTAAGCCTGGGTCTTCATCAGTGCTAATAAAATGTCAAGCTTTGCAGTAATAAATTTACGTGGTGTTTGGAACACAAACAAAAGTATTACATGTTTTATCACCATGCAAACCTACAAAGAACTTATAATAGCTATAGCAATATGTTTGTCAAATGATTAATTTAATAACAGTATGAAATACAGAGCACATGCAATACAAAATCATTCCTTCACTGCAATGTGGTTTATATAACAAACAAACAAACAAACAAACAAACAAACAAACAAACAAACAAACAAACAAACAAACAAACAAACAAACAAACAAACAAACAAACAAACAAACAAACACCAAAAACCAAAAACCAAAACAAAACAAAAAAAAAACACATACACAACATCACTTCCACTTTGCCATTCCCAAAAATGGGTCAGGGTTTATTGGTCACCTTAATCATGTCTACTACTACTTACATAGCAATAGATAAATGGCTAACATTTGTCTATACCCAGTTCACCACTTTAGATTATTAACTCACATGTCTAATTGTCATTGTTCATATAGAATCATAGAATAGAAGGAAGGTAATATGAGTAAGCTTTGAATGATCTAAATGAGTGAATACCTCTTAGACATATAAACTCTAATGCTTATTACTTTTGTTCTATATTCTCTGCAGATTCCTTCTGTAAACTAGAACAATAGTAACTAGGCATGTGACTCAATGTTATCTGTTGTGAACGTCTACTATTAGATCAGTGATTGTGAATTAGATATAGTGTTTCGCTAATTAATAGATAAATAATTATTTCATATTACTACATCATTGAACAGAAACAATTACATGACAGAGAAATAGCGGGAAAATAACATGTTGCCGTTGGTTTTATGTTGTTTATTCGAGGTTTAATGTTCAAAGAAATAGGCTTATATTTTGTATTGTAAAGTGATATACAGTGGCCAAAGGCAAAGAAGTAAGTTCATATGTTGTTTCTTGTTATTAATATCTATTTTATTTTGTAGATAATTCTTGTACTTATAATGTTAGATCGAATACTATTATGCATTATACGATATTTGGTAATTATTTGTAGTCACTTTACAGGCAAGCCAGATAGCAACAATGTAAACAACATTAATCTATGGAATTGAGTCAGCCAAAGGGAGGATTTTTGCAAGCCTGTATGTATGAGTAGAAACTAAATAATGTTCTCTAATTCTAACAGTATATTTTGTACATGTACCTGCTCATAGTTCTGCATTGACTTCGCATTGTGTATAACAGATGCAAATCCTGCCTTGCATAGTGGACAAGTCTGGACAACCCTCACACCATTATAAGTCTTGTAAGATACAACAGAAACAAAAGGAATGTGGGCAGGTTAAGAATTTTTAACAACCAAAGAGTACATATTGTATATGGTGTTATAGTAAAGTTCTGTTTACTGTTTTTACTATAACTTACCATTACTCTTTGTTACACGACAAATCACTTCAACATTTCTGAGACTTAGACAGATTACTTAGCCTGTGTATAAATGGTTAATGGCGTGCACCAGTCATATTTGGCCTTTAAGCCTGGTTCACATATGCCTGCGGCATGCCTGCGACTGTATCATTATGCCTCTACTTGCCGCCGAAATACCGGCAAAGTTGAACTCAACTCAACTTTCCCGGCCTACCGCCGATGTAACTGAGGCACTGGAGGCAATCGGCGAACAAATATTCACATAATTTACGTTTTAAGCTACTACCGGCATCGTCGCCGGTACGTCGCAGGCATATATGTGAACCAGGCTTTATATCACAGAATAAAGATCAGTAACAGAAGGGCCACTCAGCGGTGCAACGTGTCCTCGTTTTTTTATGCAAAAATATGCAGTTTACTGGCTAGAAGGCGGAGCAGCCACAAGAATGTTTCTTTTTATCTGGAGCTAAATATCTCGGCTACTCATACAGTTCATTACTTTTAAGAACAATCTAAAGAAAACATTAATTAAGGCTGTAAAACGTGGGGATTCAAAGACGTCGGATTAGACGTCTGTACATGGAGTCATGTATTCGAGACCGACTTGTGGGCAAGTGTAGGAGTCATGAACTAATAATATATAGTTTCTGACATTTAAAACATGCAACAGGGCTACGTTTATGCTATACTTTGTTTTTATAGTTTAGCCAAGTTTCAGAGGCCTCCATTAAATAACAGTCAAGATATATACGCAAATATAATTTCCGTGTCTATCTAAAATTTGTAATTGTTTTGTGAAGATTCAACCATAAAACAATCGCCGGAAATGGAAGTGCCCTGATTATAAAGGTGAAGGCTATTTCAGATACGGTAGAGCACCTAGTCCCCAGGCCTTTACCAGCGCGACCGCGAAATTCAAGATGGCGCCAAGCTAAGGAGTGGAGTTTAAATGGAGTTTATATTCTATAATTTCT